GGAAATCGATTGACCGAGCTAGCCCAAGAAGGATGGAAAACACTCAAGGAGGTAGATCGTCTGGTGAAGCTCCACCCAGAATGTGGTAACCAGGACAAGATTAACGGGGAATGGGTTATGTTTGATGAATGAAAATCCTGCGCAGCGGTACCAACTATTTAGCCCCCCCAAAAAAACGCTGAGCAGCAGGGATATTTCCTGCACGTTGATAAGGTGTCGCACAGATACGGAATCAGAGCCAACGATTACGACCAACCGTGCTGTTGCTGGAATTCAAGACCTCAAACATAAACGCCGCATCCAACCAAAGCGTAGTTTCAGTTGTCATCAGTGAGATTGAAAGACTTCAAGATGCTTGTCAGAAAGCAGGCTCAGTTCTGACTATTTAACCCTCCTAGGCTTCCACTTCATCTTCCGTCTCTTCCTTTGTCTCGGTATCAGCATCATCCGGTTTAATTGATGGTTCTCCATCAATTAGACGGACGTTACATGTATTCGTTTTATTGAGCGCTTTTGCAAATATCGCCCTCCTTTTCTTCATCCGTTTAGTCTTCAAACGCTTGTACTGTGAAACGATTCTATTCCTTTCAGAACGGGGTCTATTCTTGAACTTGTCGCTATCAAGCTCCAGCTGATACGCTGCAAAGCATTAAATAATTTGTTGGAGAAATATTGGACAAACAGATCAGCAAGAGACGATCCTTTACTCCAACGGATGTCGCGAAAGAACTGAGGGCGGGCTTCAATTGGAGAGTTCGGAAGCTCTGGAGGATTGTGTACAGTATGGTACGCGCAACGGAACACTGACGGGACAGTGTGCGATTGAACTAAATGACTTCTAACCTCAACCCTCAACCAGATCATGTCCGGGACGGTACGACTGAACAGTGCTCCCGCCAAACTATGCATACATTGTCATGTGGTACCGGTATGTACCGGTAGGCCGGTAGGGCAAAAGTGGAAGGGCGCCCTCACAAAACAGAAGCCCTGTGCCAAAAACAACCCATTCACCATGGCACCCACACAATCTGATTATGAAGGAGCTCCCTTGATTGCCCACATCCATGATCCCAATGAGGAAAATATGCCCTCTATCAAGTTTGGTTGGGAGGTATTGCTTGGAGCCTTTGCTGTTATTGTTGCCGTAGCTGCCTTGATCGCAGCATTTCTTCTGTTTTGCTCAAGAACGCAAGAACATGGTGCAACAAAGCAGGAAGAAGGTATGTTTAAAGGTTGTCAAGTGGCAATCAATTGCTTTTGAGTAGCACTTCTCTGTACCGGTACTTTCTCACTGGTACACTGCATCTTTCTTACAATCCTTTACAGCTAAGAAAAAGCAAGCTCTCGAAGACTTGAAGAGCAACATGGAATGCAAACCTTGGTCCACACATTCCTCTCAGGATGACAGAACAGAGAAGACGGCCGATCCTTCTGAAGCTTCACGCTATTCCATTTTTGATTCTGATTCTATCTCTTCTTACTTCTTGGGTCCTGCTAGATCATCATCTGCCCTTGTTGATGTTGATGATGTCGAGATGCAAATGCAAGAGATCTCAATGAGCGATCAGAAGCAAGAATCTGCATGCACTACACCAGTATCTACGGATGGAGCCCCCAAGGACAAGGATGGCACTTGCTGCCCCATCTGCAACGACATCTTCGAGTATGGTCAGCCTGTATACACTTCCAACAACTGTGGCCACCAATGCCACAAGGTCTGCATGGACAGGTGGCTGAAATTCCAGAATACACGCCCTGTCTGCAATGAAGCATTTGTCTTGCGAGTTGTATAGCCGTTCGAAAAGACGGCCTTATCTGCTTAATTTGCAACACAATGACATTTTGACCCACCACCATTGGATTCAATTCCAGAGCAAGGCAACATCCAAAACTTCCCCTTCCTTTAGCCTGGTTTTCATTCCGTCAGCACTTGCTACATTCTCGACACAACATTAACTTACACAAACACATCACCAAATGCACCCCTACCTGGACGTAATTGATAGAGTATTATGTTTTCCAATAAGATAGCCAAGCCACACGGTGCGATTGGGTTTTACTGACAGCATACGCAGGCAACGAGGCTGGTGTTTCCAGCTATTAGCTAGCTAGGTACCTTCGGGTACCCACTCTCCTCTCCAACTGACAATTAGATGTATTGCGGAAGCGTCCCTAAGCTCAGAGGCCTGCACTAGTACTAATAGTAAAACACAAAATGAATCTATTAATTAAAGACCAAAGGTTTGGATGGTTGAGTCTAAGGTACGCATGGCCGAACTTGGATGCTGGATGGTCGTTCCAACTTCTTCGCCTTAGCTAGCTCTTAAGGAGACTCGCTGGTGGCGGCAACAAAGGCATTCCTGTCCGTTTGTTGTTGACTTCATCTTGGTTGATTGCTTCTCTAGTAGTACAATACATATAGGTCGGATGGTTTGGAACTTCTTGGAAGGATGCATCATGTAGACTTTCGCTAGCTTGAACGATGGATACCTCATACATTCTGTAAAGCAAACGGTTCATTGCAAGTGGGGCATGTATTTTGGAGGCGGAGCCACTTGTCTACACAATCCTTGTGAAACCGATGCTTGCAGGATGGATTGTTAGACTTGGACATGGGTTCTTCGTCACGGTACCCTTGGTTGCAAATGTCACAGACAGCCGCGGATTCGTCGTCACTGCCGCTGGTTTGAGAGGAGGAGTCGTCGGAGAACGTTTCTCCGGTAGTGCACAGGGACCGGTTTGTCGACAAGTCCTTGGCGGAATATGGTTGACAAACCACGCTGCTGCGCAGACTCTTGTTCTGATCCTCCCGTTTGGCTGTGGATGGAGTAAGAGCAGGACACGCAAGTCAGTAAGGATCCAACAACTCAAGCAAAGCACCAATACTATATCATTTGACTCACACTCCTTCCCGCTTTCTCTCCTTTGCTCTTGAGCTCTCGAACAGTACATGATCCCTGCCACCACGAATCCAGCAAAGATGACGATGCAAACGAAGAAAAATGCAGGCAACCAGGGATATTTTTCGGATGGATACTCCGACTCTAAATCGTCGTCGGTAACAACAATGATCCTGTCGTCAGTCCACGGTTCCTTCATGGTCTAATAATATTATAATTTGGAGTAATAGCAAAGATGGAGCTCGAGTGTGGTAGTAGAACGACAAAGGAGAAGTCGGAGTTGATGAATAATGAGGGTGGCGACTGAGTTAATGCATGTCCACCGAATGAATGAGAGCTCGATTGAGGCGAGGAATGAATGAGAGAAGCTAGACTAACGTAACGGTGTCCGATTTTCAAAATTGTGACAGCGCACCATGAACCATCGTCACAAGGCTTCGGGCACGGCATGCGCGGATAAGATCTCTTATCGTGCGAAATAGTACAATTGTGGGATGCCCACCCTCGTCCTGTGCTTCGGATCTTCCAAGAATTCATCTTCTTTCGTCTATGTAGCTACTCTACTGTAACTTTGTTGAGCCATACATAACGTTTTTGAGAACGTCAATGTTGAGCGGTACACAGTAGTTAAAGGTCTCTTGAACTAAAACACCTAAGAACCAGTTAGTATCCATGTCCGCCTAACGAACTCTACAACCACACCAACAACTACCAGGTACACGTACCGGTTGGAAACTTCCTGCCACCGCGATGTGATGGGAACCTTGGCCGTTGCAGTGGATCTGCCTCCAAAAAGTGGCCTGGGCTATGATACATGCGCTGGTTGCTATTGGAAATTTTGTCGATAATACCACCTGGACACCTGGACACACTGGATGGGTGTACCGGACCGGTACAGTACATCTTCTCCCATTCATCTTGAGAACATCACTCATCACTCTGTTCCCATAATACACTCCAAACCTGAAGGTAAGAAACCCCAAATAAGAAAGCGAGTACTCAGATTTTAGAGAAAGATAAAAATCTTTTTATACTGAAATATCACGAACTTGTAAGAAAGCTTCCCAGTATTGATACCTCAAAGCACAAGAAATACTACTAGTCTGACACCATGAAAATTCTCCTAACTTGTGCCTAAATCTGCAAAATTTTCTGCCTGGCGGCAGAGACAGTGATCACCACTTTTACTTGATCCAAACCAATTAAGAGTCCTGAGCAAGTTGGACCCCAAGGCCCAGATGCATATCCAAACGCTAAACTGCTTGATCTAGAAGCTTAGTAAGAAAGTCTTCTATACTGGAATTGTCTTGTTTGGTTAGAAATAAAATGAGTAGCAAAATAGAGCACTTGGCTAAGAAAGCTCGAGTACTGACTCCCAGTTAGAGCTTTCTTATTATTGAGTTTGGAGTGTACCGGTAGGTAGCCATGCATCCTCCCTTCACACCATTATTAGCACACCTTGGCCGTTGTTGATCTGGCATCTTGCTTTTGCTTTTTTACCTGGACACACTGGGTGTACAGTACCTACAGTACCAGTTCCGGTACATCTTATTCTACCATGCATCTTGTATCTTAGCTTGTGAATACTGTACAGCGCGACACACTGTACCAGAATACCCAAAAGCAGTACATCTGATGTCGCACATGTTGCATTCTTGATGATATTTAAAGCTGGAATGTACCGGTACGGGTGTAGCGGGTGGTAGATAATTATTGTCGCTGTTTGTGTTGTGATTCCAGAGAGATGTTCTCATGTCGCACATGTCGATGAAGCTGGTATGTACTGGTACGGATACAAGTATACTGAGTACAAGATATTGGGGAAGGGCTGCTTGTAAATGCCCAGTATGATTGTATTGGCTGAGCTATTGGCTGCGGCTTCGTGGTGTGAGTAGTCCAGAGATCTCGGCAATTAGATTTATTTGCAGTTTTGGTTGGCCCTCATGATATATCCACTATTGAAGCAAGCTGGTCGGTACTTGTGCTTGTGGTTGGGTTTGCCAAGGGCTGTGAAGCCAAGCTTTTTAAGCTTCAACGAAGTACCGGTACGGATCGATTCGTCGTAGTAGCATATAGCTCACGGTTATTGAAGCTGGTATGTACCGGTATGTGATCTGCCTCCATCAAAAAGTGGCCAAGGACTGCTGCTGGGGTGCGCTGACCCGGTACTGGTAGTACTGGTTGCTATTGGAAAGCAACTTCGTTGATACCTGGACACACTGGGATGGGCAGCTGCATAGACATGGCTTTCCTTGCCTCTTGTGAAAACATCACACCTGTGCCCATAGCGGTACCAGAGTACCAGCAGATGTATGTGGCACATGTGGTTCTTTCTCTATGATGAAGCTGGAACAATGTTTCGTGCAGGTACCGGTACCCGCGCAGAAGCTGGAACGTACCGGCGTGGGTACGGTACCGGTAGGCACCACTTGTCACTGTTGAGCTTGTCTGTGTTGTCTCTCCCACCGCCAAGAATCGGTTGGATCACAATTTTTCACTTGGAGGACGCTTGTTCCCCACATCTCATGTGTTGAGGAACGGAGCCATACCTCTTGCAACACATGTAGAAAAAGAGGAGACACGGTTGGATTACTCACCGACGCCAGAAGCAGCAGCAACACCGACAAAGGTGACTTCTTGTTCTGCATCAAACATGACAATAGCGCCGTGCGCATTCAGGTTGATGTCGGCGGTGGTCTCCTTTCGTTGGTGGCCCGTACCTACCTTCAACCCAACGAGCAAAAGAGTCTCCCATCTTTGTGGCCTCGCTCTTCAAGAGTGGCACGACGTCTGTGCATGACTATTTCACCTGTGGCCGGCGACAGTCGGTACACAATCGATGGTGGGTTTGGGGCTGGATAGGCGTGTGCTTGGAGAAAGGTTTGGAGGTACGTAGGTACTTTCGCCATAGTCTTATTGGCGATCGTGGTGCTCACCAACCATACTGTTGTGTCGCTGCAGAGAGGAAAGGATATGTTCGGAGGGTATTGTGGGAACTATGAGGTCTTTACCGATACGAGTTATCTCGTTAAGAAGGAGCCAGATCGTTGCTTTGAACCATCATTACATGGCGGTCTGGACAACTTGTATCATTTCCATCCCAACAGCACGGTCGTCCTGACAGTCCGCGACGTCAACGACTGGGTCTCGAGTATCAACCACTTTGGCGGACTGGGAGGGCACGTCAAAGAAAAGTGTCGCAACTTTTTCCCATGGCAGCCCAACACGGTGACGGATGATGATTTGGCTCGATTTTATCGCGATCACATCGAATTTGTGCGAGGCTTTATGCGGGAGCATCCATCGCTGACCTACCTGGAAGTGTCGTTGGAATCGGAGGAAACCGGTACCATCATGGAGAATCATTTTGGAATCTCCCGGAAATGTTGGGGCCGGAGCAACGAAAACAAAAAAGTCAGACGTGGTGGCAAATAGGATTTTTGTGAAAGACATCGTCTTCGTCGATAGGGCCTGCCAGCCCGTCGACTCAATCCGATTAGTTTGTTGAAGCTGGACTTCATTAATCACTAGATCGCAAATGCAAGCTCGCGCTTGTCCCGTGGATCGACATCCTTCTCCTTCCGTTTCGCGTCCCAGTGGGGATCATGTCGGTCCAGCAAGGTCACATAGGTCTGCAGTATATCCAGAATACGGAATCTGTTGTAGATCACGTGACGACGACACCACTCGTTGGCGTTGTGAACGATGGCTTGTACTTCATCGTCATTGGCCGGGTCCAGAGCCCATTGTGCTCTTGCCAGTACTTCACTTTCGTTCCTGGCCGCCACCGGAATGAACTGATGCCAAGGCCGTCAGTCGTGGTCGGGGAAGAACCAGTCGACGTGCTCGGGCTCGACTTTGAGAACCACGAGTTTTGACACAGTATAGCTTGGCAAAGCGGTCACTCCATGGAAAGCCATCGACGTCCAGGACCACCTTGTATCTTTGAAAATCAGCAAAGGGTATCCTTCCTCCCATAGGCATTGGTTGCTGAGCGTGGCGCTTGGTTGGAGGCGATGGAGATGCCAGCGCGTTCGAGCGCAAGCTGCGGATGGTGACGATGATTTGGTGCATGCTGTAAGTACTGCTGCTTTCGTATACATGTACGCTGGTCAAGCTCCAAAAGGGGTGGGGTTGTCACGTGAGCAACAGCCAGGAACGATGCTGGGTGTTTGAAGGCGTTTGCATGGAACTTGAATATGGTTCAGACCTACCTTGCTTAACCTGTCATTGACTGAGAAAGCCGAAGTGGTCCGGAGAGGCAGGAAACCTTAGATCAGGAAACACCAGTTGCTGCTTCGGAGGAGTGCACTTGTAAAGGGGAAGTGAAGAGAAATCTGCAGCCGACTGGAACATTGCTTTCACTGTGCTCTTGCGAAAGCTCTCTTCAGAGCCAGGAAGGTAGAAGGTAGAAGATGATTAAAAGAGCTGCTCGTTCGTGGTGCGAGAGAGATCTGGGCAATCCTTCTTCGCAGTTTTGGGTTGCCCTCGTGATTTATTCAGTATTGAGGTGCTGGTACCAGCATGGTTGGATTGGCCAGGGCTGTGAAGCTTTTGAAGCTTCAGCGAGGGTACCGTTGCTTCCGTTGCAGTATCAATGAAGCTCACGTTCTGGCGCGTCTAACCACTTTGGCCCCCAACGGCGCCTGACAGCTTTGACGTTTCATGAGTGAATCTCGTTGTTTGGCCATTGAATTCTTTGCTAGATTCGTATGATTGCATTGTTGCCTCTCGCTGATTGAATCATTCGTCCACCAAAAAAAAAAACTGTATCAACCCCGGGCACCCTTTGATCGCTACCGGCACTCTGAGGAATGATTGAATCGAATCATCGAATCATTGCCTTGGCAGGGCGGCGACATGGTGTTCTATTAGTTGCTGACGGGAAACGCCATTCACGATTCCTCGATTTCCGCAGACAGACAGTGACGAAGCAGCCAATGCACCAATGCACCAAGAAGCAAACGCACTACCAGCCACCACGCCACATGAAAGACTATCTGCGCTAAGGACTTCTTGACTGATTACCCAAGTAAGTAGTTCCTGGCACCCACCTGGTGCTATAATATACAATACAATGCTAGCGGTACACGACGTTGTTTCCTTTCCAACTGGCTCAGGATAACCTACAAGTGCGCGCAGCTTGCTTCTCGCAGCTCGTCTGCAAATCTAGTAACAGTCATGGGCCTTGCTGCGGAGCAAAGAGGATGACAAACGGCTCGCTGCACACTGGGCAAGTGTTTTGGAACTGCACCCATCGTTCGATGCACTCTGCATGAAAACGGTGGCAACAACGCGAGTTGTTCGATTCATAGAGTAACTGCCACGAGTCCATGGGCGCGGAGCATATCATGCAACGCTGCCCATCATCCTGCCTTCCACTTTGAGGACTTTGCTCTGGTGGACCGTGAAACCCCACTACAGATTCTCCTGACGGGTCGGAAGATATAGTTTCCTCCAAGCAGAAATTTTGCTTCCTTTGCATCGCCATCGTCACTAGAGAGTCCTTCTTAGCCTTCAGCTCTGTGGTAGCGAGGTAGGAATTCATAAGAGTGAGAAACCAAACCACGAGAGTTTGTCTGCAAAGGGGTACACCGGAGATTGACCATACCGTTCTTCTTCTTCTTCCTCCGAGCCTCTTGACGATGGGATAGAAACATTAGTAAAGCGGTCAAAGGAAACGCCATTACAAGAAAACCCACAAACACGGGGCCCGCAAGCTTCCAACCAAATCTTTCAGATGGACTGCCTCCTGCGGCAGGGTCACTGAAAACCCATACCCAAGTTTCATTTGTGAACAGGTCATGTGAGTCCGGAGATGCTGCCATCGTGCGCTCTTTATCTTGATTGCCAGCAACTCTCGTTTATAAATCAAGTAGTTGGACTTGAGAACGCATTTTTGGGCAGGCTGAGTGATCACCTAAAAACTTTGTGTTGGTGGCTACTGAATGAAGAAGAAGCGAATACACAATTGGCTCATGTGGAAGCTTATTAAGAAAAGCATGCTTTCTTGTCTGCTCTGGCCAAAGCCCAGAGACCGTTCTTCGATGTCACCCCAGCATGCGAGCTGTATCCGCGTCAGTTGCTATGCGTCGATAACCGTACCGTACCGGTACGTCGTCGAATTAACCGGTGAAAGAAACGAACCACGAAAGATCTTCCGTAGATCACCGCCCTATGTACTCTAGCAACCGACGGTAGCTAGCTAGACTCCTCTATGATAGATCTATCGGAATGAGCAAGACCTTCACTTGTAGCGCATCCACCCATGCGAGGAAAGCAGGCAAGCTCATTTGTTTGGGCTCCTCGATCGGGCACTGTAGTCGTTCTGGTGAATCGAGCAGACAAGGGTGGGCGCCCGGGTTCGTCAAATCCAGCCAGCGCAGGAACAAAATATCATGGGAACTACCGTTGGTGGATGATGGTTTCATCGTTCATTGGTAACAATTCGCACTTTTGTGGTCTTTTGCTCTTCGTCCTATTGCATGGTCTGAATGGCTCTCCTAGTCGCTCCTCCGCAGATCCAGATCCATACCAGTATAAAAGTCCACGATAACAGCTTGACAGCAGTGCGGCTCAGTTGGTTGGTGCTGTCTTGCCCTGGATCCGTTTGATGGCAAAGACCGCTGGCCGCCCGGTTCTTGCCAAATCCCACCAAGAATAATGTCGCAAGGACGCAGTGTCTTTCTTCTTTGGTTGTTCAAAACCAGTTGACGCAATAGTAACAGCGGGTGTTGGTGAGGATGGTGCCATCTTTCTTTTCTGCTATTAGCGTGTATACCTGAAACGAACAGGAACGAGATACTGGAGACTGCAACACCTTCTACATCGGGCTGGGCGGTACACTACTCTTTTGAATGCTGAAAGGAAACTTGCTCGCACGAGGCCAGGATCGCTCCAACTGTGACAGTTGGTGAGTGCAGTATGCACAGTGGGTCCTTCGAATATAATAGTTTATAGTTGTAATAGTGCAACGCTTGTGGAAACAGGTCAGTGGAAGCACGTCAACGATGATGGAAATGGGTTTCTCATGTTTCGTTTAAAAAGTCGTGCTCTGCGGCATCAACATCTTTGCTTTGAACACACGCAGAACTCGAACCTCAACGCCTCGTGAACCAATAACAATACCGTAGCGTACATTACAGTCACCGCCACCGTATCCTCAGAAGAGTGCATAGTTCCTACCGTATTGACCCTCTTATTACTAATATGCACCTCTGCCACCCGATACGGTACAAACGGCATGATGATCTCCGGGGTTTTTCACTGATGGCATCTGATCAGGAGACCTCGGTGGTTTGCGAGTCGAGTCAAGGGCTGAATTTCTCCTCAGTTTCAACTGAAACGGCCATGGTCATCATCTCGACTCCCGCTAGCTAGGGCCCGGGGGTGTTCGCCTGATGAGCTCTCGCGCTCTCAGATCTCGTGGCGCCGTTGCCTGCAGCGCTACTAACCACGGTAGCTAGCTAGCTCTACTTCGTAGCTAGTAGTAGGGCGTGAAGTGGAACCACTTCTTTCGCATGCATTTTTGGCCACTGTGCCTGGCTGCGGTACCGGTACCGGTACCGGTACCGGTGCACGTGCTGTTACATACAGTGTACTCAGACTCCTGTACTGGAGTAGTCATACGTATGCATACCTCAACCAGCAAACGGTGGTACGGAACAGAGTAATGTCCAGATTGTCGGCTCTATGGCTTAGATACTGTTGATCTTGGATCATAGCGGAAGCTAGTCGAACATGCTTTTGTTCTCGAAGGCGAATGTTCCGCATAAGTAATCGGAGCAGAATCAGTCTCTACTCCATCTTGGTTTCCAAATTCAATTAGAATGGACTCGTGCTCGGCCAAGTTCCTTTGTGCTAATTATTTGCCCTAAGTATCTTCCGTCCTCTAAGAGCCTGTTCGTGCAGTCTCCGAAGGCGGGCTTACAAGATACCTTTTTGGGCATTTCGGCTGCTGTCCTTCGTGGACAAGAGGTTCCAGGTTCTTGTTGTTTTGACATCGAACGCATACAAAAGCTCAGAGTGAGTTAAAGAACGTTGAAGGCTGTGATCGAATGGAAAGGGCTTTGATCTGCGGTATTGTGCCCTAACGAATATGAGCACCAGGCACCGGTTGCGTGATGTACTTGAACGTTGTAACACGACCATCTCAATTATGGGTCATCAGATTTAGGTCAACAATGCCGGGCTAGCTCAGTAGTGTCGTACTTCCCGGCTTTCCGGGACATTAAAGACTAAAGACAACGAATTGTTTATTGATATTGTCGTACATATCGATTACATATAATCAATTAAAAGGAATTTCTGTCCCATATCCCGGGATCTACCGGTACACACCGGTACATTCATGTGGGTCTGTTCAAACTCTGCTTCGACGAGGGATGTGAATGTCGCAGTTTTCGCTGAATTGAATAGTATGTACTGCTCTGACGCGATTTAAAGGATCTCTGACCAGTGTGTCGCGAATGTACTCCTGCGGAATTAACCCAGCTTTCAATTCAAGATTGGAGGCAATAATATCCTTGGAGAATCTTTCTTCGGAAATCAAGTTCAGCGCTAAATCTTCGTCACCCAACGTGATGTTCCAGTCATGGGGCTGATGTATCAGGGTGATCCAGTTACAATGAAACTAATTGCTTCGTTCACAGTTGCTGGGGAATAGTTACACGACTTGTTCATTTGTAAATACTATCGATTTAAGGCGTTCATCCACCGAGATTGAAGCATCCTCTGTCGTCTTTCACGAACACATCTGGAAATCGGATCTGGTGTTTAAATTTCGGCCATCGGATATCTTGCTTCTGTGCTTCTTCTGCTTCTGTGGAGCCTGCATGCTCATCATTTCCCATTTCCGGTACCGGTGCTTGTACTCACCAGGCAATCGACAACCTCCCAATCCATCACGGACAACACAGCTTGGATGAGAGCTCACAATTCTGAGCTCTCAACAACTCGAAAGCAACTTCCTCACAAAAGCCCAAAGTTCCTTTCTTCAATTGTTCTCTTGCAGCCTGCCGTTTGTGTATACCTCCACAACTTTGTCCATCAAACCAACCCCATCCCAACTTACTTATTAACTAAGCTCATCAGTAATCCAACACACAGTCACCATGGCCCCCACACAAACTGATTTCGAAGGATCTCCCTTGGTTGCCCACATCCATGATCCCGATGAGGAGAATCTGCCATCCATCAAGTTCGGACTGGAGTTTTTCGCCGCAGTCTTTGCTCTCGTCGTCTTCGTCGCTGCATTGGTTGTGATGGCTAGCTTCTATTGCGTCCACCGAGCAGATAAGCGAAAGGAGAGCCGAGCTGAAGGTAAGCAGAGAAGATCGCAAACGTATCTTTTTGGCGTTGTTATTAAAAAAAGTATCTTTGCTAACATTTTGTTATCTTTGTCTTTTAATCAGCCACCAAAGAAGCTCAAGACGAAGACTTCAAGTCCAAGTTGGACTGCAAGCCCTGGTGCGAGGAAGACGCTACCGAAGAGATGTCCATGTCCGATGACTCGTTCCGTGACTTTGCCTGCCGAACATCCTCTGCCGTTTCGGATGTTAGTACCATGGAGGCTGTCAGCGAAGGAGAAGAAGAAGATGACTTGGAAATGGGCGGTGTCGTCATGAACGGATGCCCCATGGTGGACAAGGACGGCACTTGCTGCCCCATCTGCAGCGAAGTCTTCGAGTACGGCCAGCCTGTTTACACTTCCAACAACTGCAGCCATCAGTGCCACAAGGTCTGCATGGACAAGTGGCTCAAGTTCCAAAATACTTGTCCTATTTGCAACAAACCCTTTGTCAATCACACCCGCTAAATCATCCAGCGAATGAATGACAGTACACACACAAAAGAGAGAAAACCATTCCTCCCTCCCTCCCCTCTGGCTTCTACTTCCGCCGTTAAAGAGGACGACCTGTACCACTAGCAGTTATTCACTGTGGCGACATGGACCTTCTTTCCTTTTCCCTTCCAAGCAAGGCGCCTTTAAGATTGGGGCTTCAATCGACAGAGCCTGGAATCGAATCACCTCACATCTACGCTTCCACTGCATCCATACCACACATGCCACCGCTTTATAACACTTGTAGAATCAAATCTAAACTAGTAGTAGGTTTTTAACCTTCACTATCTACTTTACATGCTGCTAGCTAGCTAGAAGAAATACCACCGATAGCCAATAGCTTCTACTGGCTACTCTAGCTAGCTATCTATCAGGCAGCATGCTTCCGCAGGGTGGTGGCTTCAACACTCTTCGACGAATGCTTGGAATGTCATTGCAACCACAAGCGCCTACCCAGGCAAGCTCCAACTACGATTACAACATTTAAAAATTTTACTCCGGTACAGTACGTAGATCCCACAAACGGCTTACAGTACCGACGCGACAACGCACCCACGACCCACGTGCATCAGTTTGAGGTGCTGTCGCTACGTCGCTACTAGCTAGCTACGACATCGCTGAAACCTTGGTAAAACATCACAAAATGAGATGCCATGTGCATGCCACGTGAGGCATGCTTGGATGGCGCCAGAGCCGTGAGATGCCAACGCCATTGGTTGGCTTGGTGATTGTGCACGTGTGTGGTTTGGCTGAGAGCAAGGCGAACAAAGTCCAATCGAATGTTGGCCGTGGTCGAGTCGACTCGACTCGAGTCAGTCGAGTGACAGTGTTCGAATCGAATCGAATCGAATCGAATCGAATAGGACCCAGATCCAAACAGGATCGAAACCCGCATTGCTCCACAACATCATCTGGAAGGCAGCCAATAGAAACAAGAAACCGCAGCAGCAGCAGCAAAGAGATAGACACACCATGAACATCATTGGCCTTGTCAATCCAGCTTCTGTCTTGAACGATGATCTCATGGCCCACATCTTTTCCTTTGTGGGTGGTGGCCGTGGAAAGCAACGCCACCGCGGCAACATCGCTCCCACGATTCTCCATCGTTCTGGCGAAGCCTCCATTCGCCTGATGGATCTCCAAGAAGCCGGTCGGTTTCAATTTTCCACAGTGGCATTGGTGTGCAAGCAATGGAAGAGGATTTGTCAAGACAATCTGTCGCTCGTCCTGGGTCCTTTGAATGGAAACTTCTACACGCTGCAAAACAAGGACCGCACGGTGGCGTGTATCCAGTGGATGATGCGATACAAATTGCGCATTGGAGCGCTCTATTTTTACCACGGGCAGCAATGTCAAGATGTCGCAACAATCACCCAACTGTTGCAAGAATGCGACACAACGGACCTTCAAAAACTAGCCATCAATTTGGACATTACCGACGAGACACCCGAGCTGCATCGACTCGTGGCCCAAAAGTGCCCCAATCTACGAGAGCTCTTTCTAAGCGTCGACCAAACCAGTCTTTTCCAAAAAGACCATCCCCTGTTCTTGGCATCGCTGCCCTCGCTTTCCTGGCTTCATGTCAACCTGACATTCCAAAAAGGGGCACGAGCATCCAAAGCACTCGAGCTGCCCCTCCGGAAAATGCCCAACTTGAAAGACCTCCGGCTGACGGGGGGCACTGTGTGGGGATGTGTGGCCGTCCACTCGGAATCCTTACAACAGATTGATGCTTGTGATCTGGTAGATGGGTGTTTTGTGCGCTGTGAGTGTCCCAAGCTGGCCAAATTTTCTTGTAGTGGCAAAAATGGCACCTTCCCCGCAGGTAATCCGCTGGCCTTTCGCCGGCGTACCTTAGCAATTGAAACTGGAAGCTTTGCAGCGGGGGATGTCCCCTTTATTGGTATGGTTGTGCCGCCGTCTTGTGTCGTTTCTCTTAATCATTACACAACGGAGCACTACTTCCAAGAACATGCACACATCCGAGGCATCATCATGGGCACTTCCTAGCCTGTGAAAGCGCAAGAGAAAGAAACTCACTTTGGAGTGAGGGAGTGAACGGATTGGAAACAGGACGGCAGAGTTTGTTTAGACTTGAAGCAGCCAAGAAACAAAAGAAGATATAGAAAGAAGGATCTAATCACATAGCCTTGAAAAGATAGAAAAGAAGAAGTCGCTTCAATTTGGGTTTCTATTCTTGGCTTAGCTATTCATATCTTTTACTCACTTTTACTTGTTGTTGCGTTTGGGCAGCCAACTCCTGGCCCGAATTGAGTATTGTTGTTGTGTATTTAGATTATTGACAAGTGTCTTGATTACATGGCGGTTTTGGGTCGTTCTAAGTTGTCGTAACCTAGCTAGCTAGCAGGCAATGAGAATGGCTCCCTTTCTTTTCTGTACAAATGGCTCCATCCATCGCGCTCACACAGACAAATAAATCCAAAAACTCGGGGCCCTTCAGGATGTTGTTGCTTCGTTGTCGTGGTGTAATCACCATTCTACAGTGATGTGGTGTGCCTCTCCTTCGGACAGCTCCTCTGGCAAATCAAAAGACAATTCTCCAGATTCCTTGTCGTAGCTGAAGGAAAGGCTTTGTTGTCGTTGTTGTTGGGACTCGCTGGCACTGCCTCCTGCAAGAAGCACCCGCTTGGGTTTCGTGTTTGCAAAGGACACGAAACGGCCAGGTCCTCTGGTTTCGAACTTAGCCCGAGTTGTACCGTCCGTTCCCTCTTCCAACTCTCCAGTGGAGAGAATAGACCCTCCGGTGTTCATCATGTCCGGGAGTCCAATAGGTGCCCACATGATGAGTCCTTTCACCTGGATGGGGCAAATGGTGAATATTTCCCAGTCTCGATGATGGAGCTTGGTTTTCACAGCACTGTTACCATCCTCCAGAAAGTCCATAGTGCCCGTGCGATGACGCCAGACTGCAAATGGACCTTGAGCGTCTCGCAGATACTCAATATCATAAGGTTTCACAAGGGTCGTAACGCTAGAGGGTGAGGGATCCAGAACTTCGTTTTCATGCGTGTCAAAGTTCCACGCTACACCCTGAACATTAAAGGCACCCACGACGCCTCCGTTTTGATTCATGTTCCAGATTTTGAGAGCCGTCTTTTGGTCGGCTGTCACGTCAGAAAAGAGGCAGTCTCTAGTGGGCCGACCTGGTTGGGTGGCGCGTAGTAGGCTACCATCAGGCATGACCAACTTGGACAAGAGCTCCGGATCATGTTGTCCTGGTTTGTCCGATACGTAGACGGGACATCCTCCAATAGCCCGTGCTGCAGCGTGCAACTCGGCTGACTCATGCTTGGAATGAAACATGTCCCAGTCCGGTAGACATATTTCGCCCAGGAAGAGTGAGTTGTACGCCACATTGACGAGATGGGCAGTATGGGATTCCGGTCTGTCGGGGAAGAAATCCTCGGATGCTCTGGCCACGGAAGTCTCCTTGTGTCGGTAGAGATTCTCTGTGGAATGGCACATGCAGTTGATGCAGTTGACGGCTCCGTTGTCAGAGGGAAATCGCTTTGAGACGGATGCCTCCATAGCTTTCATGTACAGCTTGGAAATGTGAGGTCCACCTCCCACTCCATCTCCCGCGGAAGACACACCCGATTGAACGTCGACTTTCACGCCGTCGACTCCCGCTTGGACGAGTGGTGTGTGCAAATGTGTGTAGAATTTTTCCAAGTCGTCTTTGTTGGTCATGACACCGACTCCAAAGAGACTGACTGGATCCCATGCAGCGTGGGGTTCCAATTTCATCAGACTCTGCGATGGTTTGGGGAAACTGTTTGTCACGTCAAGATTGTAGCGTCGTCCCACATCCTCGGAAACACCCCTCCAGTATCCGTGAAGTGCATGCCAGCAATAGACTGATTTGATACCATGATCCTCTTTGAGTTCCGTAACGAGACCTTTTAGCGTTTTGTCGCTTCCTTCAAATTTGTGGTTGGCCTCAAACCCGTCCAGTTGTCTGTTGAAATCGGTTTCACTGTCAAAAAAGTCCCACAGTCCCCCCTTTAGGACATTGTTGGCCAGGAAACTCCATATCATATTGGGAATTGATCCATGTGGGGCGGTTCGCACAACATTGGTGTAAAAGGAAGTGACCAGTTTGACAAAGGGATTGGCGACAGTCTCTACAATGGCATTCATGATGGAACTGAGGATGTTGTCATCCTTTTCTTCCTTCTTTTCTTTCGGCTCCAGCCAATCAGGAGGAGACGGGTTCACTTGCTGCCATCCATCGTCTAGAATGATAGTTCGAGGTGGTACACCGGCATCCTTGAGTGCTTGCACTCCTTCCAAGATGCCCTCTGGTGAAACTTTGGAGTAGAACGCATCCCACGTACACCATCCAAAGTCATTGATACTGGAGGGCACTTTCTTCTTATCCAACGTCTGAAAGGTACCTGTGGCTTCTGCTACATTGGCAAACCCTTCCTGGACGAGTTTGAATGGGTCCTCTCCTACCGCCACGTAGAGTGCTCGCATTCCTGTGCCAGTGACGGCGGCATCTCCACTTTCGGCGGCACAGACCACTTCAATTTGATTGGCCCCGGCATTGTGACTCAAACTGGCCCGAAACCCGTTATCCACAAGGGGTAGCATGAGAGCATATTGCTGATCTTCTTCAATTTCAATCAGCAGGAACTGTGTGTCAAAGGGAATGTCCTCTGGTCCTTCGCCTGCTTTTGGGCCCATCCAATAGCGGTTTTGTCCTGAGAAAGAATAAGCAGGAAGCAGAGTTAGCTCGGTTGGACTCCATCATGGCTTGCTTATTAGCAAACCACGAACTGACTTACGGGCACACGCCAACAATCGTCGACACGAGATCAAACTACCCAAAGACGTTTGATGTTCAGACTGACTCTCGGGATGAGACGTATGCAAGAAGAGGCTGTTGGTTTTCCCCGACTTGGGCCGACTGGCGGACCAAACGGAGGGATCCAACCCCTGCAGAAGAATATCCGGTGTATGGCACAGTCGTAGGCGTCCCACGGGGTCCAGCTCGAGACAGTTCGCGTCCTCCTCCTTTGCCTTCTTGGCGATGACTCGGATTTTCTTTCCTTTGAGCTTGTTTGGTTGCTTTTTTAACAACGACCTGTCAATCTCTTCTTCTTCCGAAATGGTGGACCATAGAGGGCCAAGAGCACTTCTGGGCATGGCTTTGGTGGTCTCGACCGGTACCATCAGACCAGGTTGTATGGTAGGTACAAAGGCATTGGTAACATGGATGCTACCCATGGCCGACCAAACCAGGAGAAGCAAGGGTATATACCCCCGAGAAGTTTTAGTTGGAGCCGCCATGGTTAATGTGAAACAATGCTTGTTTGAGAGCGATACGAGAAATGCTGATGAATGATAATACTTGTGTGATAATATGTATGCACTCAGCTGCTCAACATTCCCACTGACGGATCTTGTGATCGTCACGGTTCAACGACCAATGACCTTCGCAACTCTATCAATCAATCAACCAGACAGTTCAAATGCGTGTGCAGCATTCGATGATAGAATTTATACATCAGCCATTGGCACTTTTTGTCCCTTGTTTGATTGATGCCTGCTTCGTCTTTCTTGAAGTCTTGAAGCTCGTCTTGGCGAGTGCTATCTATCTGTCTGTCGCTCCCATCAACCATCCAGGGCTTGAATGACGAAGATCCTCTTGATTTCCGCGTCATTGAATGGGATTGGCTAATTCGCGGTTGTCAAAACTCTCACTTTTTTGATGCCCTTTGGTACACTCTTATATTACCTTGTATTTAAGATGGCGATCTACCGGAATAATCCACCACGTCTAGCTAGAGAATTGCCAGATCAAGACACAAAAATCTTTGCCTTGGCTAAGATACACAGCAAGGACTCTCCCTTGGGCACATCAGATATTGAGAGATGACAAAATAGCATTTTCTGCAACAGAATGCCTCAACTAAAGTACCAAATGGCAACATTTTCTCCATGGGGCGGGTGATCAACTGCGTTTTAGGCATGCTTAGTAAGATGGTGAGAGTGTGGAACTGCCCCATAGCACTGCCTTCCTAGCAAGAGTATTAATATACTACACCACACTGATGGTTGATTCTAAGTTAATATTGGTTATCCGTTCCGTACGGTATGGATATTTGTTCTACTATGACCTAGCTAGCTAGCTAGTCTAGCTAGCCAGTACTGGTATGGTACCGGTGGCCTCCACCAACGACAACAGAAGCAAAACAATTTGTATCTAATTAGCAAGGGATGCATCAGGTTGTCCAAAATGACACAATGACACCTTTTCAAGGAATAATACGTCCTCTGATTGGTTCACACGTTCGCACAAAACTGCGTGGGCAAGCGCGCCATATAGAAGACGGTGAATTTGTCTGAACATCCAGGGCAAAGCTTTTGGTTCCGGCAATCGAATTGAGTGAAATCAATTCGAAGTATTCGATCACACTCAAATTACCCTTAACCCCACCGTAGATGCCATTGGGAGCGGAGGGATCCGTTGCAAAATTTTAGTACAATGACTTCGACACTTCTTTCACGCTCTGCTGTGTTCGCTCGTTGTTGCCGTTCGTAGTAGTAAAGCACTCTACCAGTCTACAAGCTAGTGTTGTTGGTTTGGTCCCAGAGAAGAGAGATTGATAGACGATGAGTACTAGTGCGCGACGCCGTTTGCTTCGGGATTTCAAGAGGTGAGTGGCAGTGGTGTAGTTAGATCGATGGCTTCGATGTACCACCATCCATGAGTCGAGTCCGTTGAAGTCCCTTGGATGGCCGCCAGCACACGTTCCGTGTTGGTGTGTGTTGGAAGTCCCTTCTCTCACTCTCTTTCCTTCTTGATCATCCCTCTTTTATTGCTGCTATCAGGCTCCAAAATGATCCTCCTTCAGGCGTGACGGGTGCCCCGATGGACACGAACATTATGCTCTGGCAGGCAGTCATCTTTGGCCCCGACGACACTCCTTGGGAAGGAGGCACGTTCAAGCTGACGCTCGAGTTTACGGAAGATTACCCCAACAAGGCTCCTCAGGTCCGCTTCTTGACCAAGATGTGCGTATTTTGATTGTTGTGAAAATGATGATGATCAATGGAATAGTATTTTGATGGACTGCCTTCCTGACCTGCGCTGTCTGTACACACACATGTCTCTTTTTTTCTTTCCTAGGTTCCATCCCAACATTTACAATGATGGTCAGATTTGTTTGGATATTCTGCAGAATCAGTGGAGTCCTATCTATGATATTTCGGCCATTCTGACATCCATTCAGAGTTTGCTCTGTGATCCCAACCCGGCGTCGCCAGCCAACTCGGAGGCGAGTCGTCTGTACAATGAAAATAGACGTGAATACAATCGTCGTGTCCGGGAAATTGTGGAACAGAGTTGGCTCGATGAATCATGAATTCAATGCAATGAATGCTTGGACGGAAGTAGGCAATATTATTTATTTATTGATTGGATGGTGATTGATTTGGTGGGGTCGGTCGAGTGGTTTGTGCTTTTTGGATCTAGCTAGCTAGTGGAGGCTATCACTTGGTGTGCCATCAAACGAAAATCATCACCATGAGATATAGACAAAACAACAAATTAGGCTATAGCTTGGGCCGTCTTGTTTGGAAACTGTTTGCAGGAATGCTAAAAGTAATATAGCTTGCTTGGAGGCAGCCTGTTGTTCGTAAAGGAAATTAAAATCTATAGAACCGGTGATGTGGGTTGATACTGTCTTGTGCCTTTGTGAGGGAGGAGCAAAGGCAGTTGTCGCCTCCGTACGGTACGGTACATGTACCATCGTACGGGACGGCAGATACCAAAAAGCTCCGGCAAGATCATGCACATAACGAGGCGAAATTCGAGACTACCGGTAGCTAGGTTCTCTGGTGCTCTTCACAGCTCAGATGGTTAATTGTCAGAACGCATTGCTTTCCCTCACAATTCGCCAACGGCTATGACGGCTGTGGTGGCGTTTCCAAAAGTCGAGTTACCGTCGGAAGTCAGAAGAACATAACAGTGTGATTGTTTGATAATAGCCCGGATCTGGTTGTTGTTGAAGGAGAGTTGATTGTAAGTTTCCTCAAATACCTTTTGATTTCTCATTGAGAAGAGTTGGGCCCACTTGCCGAAACACCACGTGTACTTACATAGATTCTGTCCCTGCTTTCAGTAAAGGTACTGTATCACAATACTCACAATGGCCACCAATAAGAGCAAGAATCCGTTCCTGGCCATGGGCGCAGGTTGTGTAGCAGGAGGAATTGAAGCCACTGCTGTCTGGCCAATGGAGTACATTAAGGTGCGTTACAGAAAGATGGATACCAAAACTCCACCATGGTCAGATCATTGGTACTAACTAACTAAGCATCGATTGATTTTTATATTATATTTATATACCAGACCCAACTACAACTACAATCCAAAGCCAAGGGCGCCAAGTTACCGTACAATAGCATGATTTCGGGTTTGACGTATACCGTCCGAACCACAGGATTCTTCTCGCTGTATCGAGGTCTGGCACCGACACTGATTGGCAGCATCCCCAAAGCCGGCATTCGATTTGGATTGAATTCCGTCATTAAAGAAAAGCTACGCGATGCAAATGGCAATTTGACACCCGCCAAAAATTTTGTTGCTGGTTTGGGAGCCGGTGTCACGGAAGCCTTGATCATTGTGGCACCGGTCGAAACGGTCAAGACGAAATGCATCGAATTGAACATGCCCTTTGTCAAGGGGTTTCAGCACATTCTGGCCACGGAAGGTGTGGCCGGTGTCTACCAAGGTGCCGCCGCCACGGCCATGAAACAAGGATCCAATCAAGGATTGCGATTCATGTGGTTCAATGAATACAAACGAATTGTTACGAACGATGGTGAAATCCCACTGACACCTATCATGGGATTGTTTGGTGGAATGAGCGCCGGGTGTTTTTCGACTTTGGGGAACAACCCCTTTGATGTCGTCAAGACTCGAATGCAAGGTACCAAAGCATCGCAGTATAAAGGAACCCTGGATTGTTTCTCCCAAATCCTAAAGAACGAAGGGATTGGAGCCTTTTACGCTGGTGTCGTTCCTCGATTAGGACGCGTTGTGCCAGGTCAAGGTATCATTTTTATGAGTTTTGAAACCATTCAAGATGCCCTACAAAAGAATTTCAAGGTCTTTCAAACGTAAATAAAGAGGCATAAGAAAGACATTTCGTTTATTTGGACAACAACAATCTACCGCACAAAAAAACAAAAAGAGTCGTAGTTTTGGAATGCAGCTGGACACGGCTCTAGCTAGCTCATAACGACTCCACTGCGCGTTTAAAAACTAAAAAATGTTGTTTGTTCTAGCTAGAATTCACTCGCATCCAGTGCTGCTCTATCGGTAGTACCGGTAATTCTTAAGTTCTGGCTTTTCTCCTTCCCTTGGTGACTGTAGCAAATCCATCATCGTCCACCTGAATTCCTTCGGGCTGTTGTCTCGGTCGAGGAGCCTTGGGTTTCTTGGGTTTGCCAAAGAGAGATTGTGCGGCATAGTCACCGGCAGTGGTAAAGGCAGCTGGTGCTACGGGATTCGTTGCGGCTAGTGGTTGTTGTGGTTGAGGATTTGTGGGTGCCACGGAAATATTGATTCCTCCGACACTACTATCATTTGTGGTGGTAGCATCCATCATATCTTCATCATCGTCATCATCATCATCATCGTGTTCGGTCGATTGTACACTGACTGGATAAGCAGCTGCAATTTGTTCGTCGTATTTCAAGGCCGTCTGTACCAATTGTTCTGCCAAGGCGATTTGTCCTTGCGCACATTGCTCGTACAATTGAAATATTGTCAATGCCACTTGCTTTTCGGAGGCATCTTCCAAAACGACGGAATATTCTTCTTCCATGTAAATGGCCAAATTGTCTTCCAAATCTTCCAATTCCAATGTCGGCTTGTTGCTGTTGCCCAGCATGACGCCATAAATATTATCGCGTAAATCATCGGCCTTGACAATCGAATCGTTGCCACCCCAACCTCCTTCCACGGCGGTTCGAAGAGCGGACCACGATCTCATGCAAGCTGTGACACCCGCTTGGAATTCTGCCAACGGGAATGCAGGAGCAACCGTGGCCATATTGGAGTTCATAATGGTTGGCGACCGAGAAAAATGGGTAGCAGATTGTTTATTTGGTGGCAGCCTGAGCGACACTTTCGAAGTCACAATGATGAGGGTCAAACGGCAGGTAATAGTAGACTAGTCTAGCTAGTAGCAGTGAGTTAGAGTTGTTTGACTTAGCCGCACTGGTAGCTCGCAGAGAACCAAGAAAACAAGAGAAAACACAAAAATGAAGGAAGGTGCAAGAAAGGAGATGGGTGGCAGTCACGTAGTCACGAATTTGACACTACTCATGATTAAAACCAGCCGTAGTTCTCGTGGGCGCTTGAGGAATCGACTCGACTCCACTCAGTCAGCACCCAACTGGGCTTTGAGAGTACTACGGGGAGGTTATCGACCGCAGCCACGGAGGGCAAGGCTCAGAGGCAAAGAAACGTTGGAATTCAGGACTAGCTAGCTAGCTAGCTTCCTTTGGAAAAGGGGAGATAAATTGAGGGCCAACACTACATGTACAATCAAGCACCAGCCAAACAGGAGGGTTTGTTGCACTCCGGCTAGCTGGCCCTGATATATGGTAGGATTGAATTCTATAGAGCAGAGAAGCATGCTCAATCAGCAGAAGACATGACTTGCTAGCAGCGGGTATGCAAACATCCTGGAAAAAATGAGCTACAACGAAGGCCACTGCTAACACTTTATGGTATCATGATAGCAAAGAAGGAACACAAGGCGGGAAAGAGATTGGAGGCCTCCATTCCACAAGTTACATGAGAGGGAAGCCACCAAGTTGGGTATAGATTCCTGGTGGGCCTGACATTTCCCCTGTTGACTCAATAACATGTTTGGTGATCTTTCCTTGTTCATTCACGTGGAAGCAAATAGTCTCCGGTGGGTTTTCCACATATTTGCCAGACGCTGCAATGGCAGGACATGGTCCAAAAGCATATGGCTTGCCCGTATGATGACCATTGGGTACCAAGTCACTCCATACCACCACTCCATCGCTCTTGCGTTCGTCAATGGAAGAATCAAATCGAAACTTAAAATCTGGAAAGGCTTCAAAGATGTTGACAACTTCGGCCGCCATTTCATTGTATTCCATCTCCATATTGTCTCCTTGGGTGATGAAGATGCACCTGCAGTCATCAGCCATGAGCTCCTTGGCTCCATCCATGTCATGGCCATTCAGATATTGCACATACGCCCTCACAACTCTCTCCTTGGCAGTCTCGGGCTGACCTTGCTCTTCCGATGTGCTGGTATCGCAACCACCCCCACTTGAGGTGGTATGGATGTTCTTGGGGGACTCGTTCTTTTGGGAGAACAGTTTCTTGATTGATTTCATCATCTTTGTGAGTGAGTTCTGCGTGAAAGTTAGTGCTTGTGTTGTGAATTTGCTGTGTGGATTGCAAAAGAATAATGACAGCTCCAGTTCGCACATCAGTGGCCAGTAGTCGTAGGCAGCGTCCCCAACCCAATCCATGGAAGCTGTATGTAAAGGAATAAAAGCGGAATAAGCTGAACGGGTCACAAAGGACAGCTCAAAGGACTATTATTAATACCACTGAGAGCTCTAAGTGCGTTTCAGTATGGACTACCCAGTACTCAGAGCAGTACATGTGAAGCTATCAATTTAGTAATGCTACTCGAGTACTTTACTCAGTATGATAGTACTAGACTACTACTCCGAGCTCCGAGTACTGTACAAGGTTTCTTTCTTCTAAAAGAGAAGAGTACGGTACTCCATTTTAATTAAATGCTGTGTAGTCTTCAATTGTACATTTATTTATCAATATCGTGCTTCGGTCTTTCGAAAGAGCGATTGGCACCATCCCTTTAAATCTGGTTATGTACTGGTTCCACCGGTACCGGTACATTTAGGGTACAACTACCAGCTAGCAAGCTAGTTGACTACATGTAACTACTATATAGCTAGCTAGAAGATTCCAGTGGTATCTGTAGGACACTGTATGGTACCGCTACATGTACTCTTCCAAGCGTCGCTACGAAAGAAGAAACGAGGTCCTACAGCTAGTTAGTTTTCGAGTGTTCTTCAGTATTGTCCATCACGACAGCAAAGCAAACGATGAGCTCTTGGCGTTGGGACTTTTGTGATTGTGGTGCTCTTGATCTCTACCTCTAGCCTTCGCCATTACTCCAATCAAGCTCCTTTCACTGGCTGCCGGTTCCTCCTTCAGTTCAGTTGGTCGGCTTTCCTGTCTTCGTCATCGTTGTCGTCGCCACATCTGAAAACTGAAGTAGGTTATAATGCGACACAGACGGTTTTGCTGTTGTGGCATGGATGTTTCACTTGGTGGTTGTCATAAACGTTGTAGGAGGTTGTTTTGGTTTGAAACTGGATGTGTCACTTGGAGGAAGGACGTTATGTTAGCTTTGTAAGTGGGGGGTGGCAGGACTGGCCACAACTGTGAAATGAAACCGGGGACCCCAATTGACAACTAGTGATATCGTTGTACCCCCACAATCCATCCCCAAAGTAAGTGCGACGATAGCAGCCAGGAACATCTGATCAGAAGACCTGTGCAGTAGTGCTACTACTGCTAGCAAGTTGTGCCCTATTAGCACAGTTGCTAGCTACTACTCTACTACTACTACTATTGACCGATTTGTGCACATCATAATACAGAGTTAGCTGTAAGGCAGCGTGGATAATTATTAGAATAGTAGTTACTAGTATAAATATTGCTTGTGGTAAATGATGGTGCTGGGCCCTCTACTTGTCTGTCATTTGCTTTGTCTGGCTGCTTGCTTTGCTGTGTACTATTCTTTTTACTCCTATCCAAGGTGGCAACAAGCTAGCCAGCTAGTACCTGGTACCTTCCTCCACAGATCCACAATGCGAGCTGAAGGTCCTTAGTCATCAGGGTGACCCTTTTGGCATGAATAGCACAGAGATTAGCATCTGCGAACAAATTGACAAGGTACACTTCACTGGACACCTGAAGGGCATGAACAGTGTATCCTTGGAACCTGATGCCACTAGCTATTGATGTTTTCTGCGATCTCTCTTACAAGTCTCTGGAAGGGCAATTTCCTGATGAGTAGATCCGTGGACTTTTGGTATCTTCGTACTTCTCTTAGAGCCACAGTCCCTGGTCGATAGCGCTGTCGCTTTTTGACACCCAGGTACGACGGGGGAGGGACTTTCCTGGCGGCCTTCCTAGCCAGGGCCTTCCGAAACCTGGGATGTTGTCCATCGACTCCTCTGCTTGCAGTTGGTTTTGCCCTTGCCATACTCGAGGAGAAAACATTTGTGTGAGAAGGGTTGAATTCGGCAACTTTGGGATGGAATTCAGACTCACCCATCTCTGCTACTAGTATTGTCGTCTATTGTTGGCTCTGGCATCCCTCCACTTTTTTTAAAAGCAGGCAGGTACAACCACTACTTACCTGGCTCTGTACCGATTGGGTCGTTGGCAGCAAGTTTTTTTTTGTTTTCGCCCGCCTGCTCGTGGTGGTGGGCTGAGCGAGTGCGTCGAGTCGGGGGTACTAGTACCGGTAGGTAGTGGTAGCCGTTTGGTTGGTTGTTAGCAATTTGCTGGTGCATGTAGCCATTCATTTATTTGGAAACCAGTTTGTGGCCAGTTCGGCGACTGGTCAACCCTCATGGCATATGGCGTGCTAGAATTTCTGGTACATGTAGCTCACAAGAGCACTAGCTAGCCACGGTACCGTACCGTGCCACTTCCGTGCGTCCCATGAGGTACCGGTACCCAGCTAGCATAGCATAGCGTAGCACAGCACACTTTCTCGATTACCGCCCTAGGTAACTCTCAGGTATGGTATACTGCCGAATGTCTTAATCCACCAGTAGACTGACCACATCGGAGATTGGAGCGAGGCAAGAGTGATGAGTGGAGTACAAAAAGCAACGGCAATCTTCCCAGAGCTTCCTTCGAGGCAAGTAGCAATTCAATCAGGAGGACGTGGACCTTTGAACGTGGCACTGAAACTGGGGAAGCCCCTGGTGTCCCATTTGGTTTTCTATAGTAAAATAGTATTTTAAAGAGCCGGAGAGGGCCTGGAGGCAGCCAGTCAGTGGTTTGATCCGTCTGTATCTGAGAGGCCAAGGGCGAGCTGTAATCACTACTACATGTACAGGCTACTGGTCACTATCGAATCAACCTCTGCATTCGAGCTGTCGACTGATTCGAAGCAGGCAGATTGCTTCGCGAGGCTTTCAATCATCCTACAGTACAGCAACAGTCTACTGTATTTCGTGTTGCCATAATTCAATCAAACTCTTGTGTTCTGCGAGGCCGCCATTGCAACCATTGTCATACGACTAGTACTGCTATGCCATTGACCAGCTCTGTGTTTGGGCCGAAACGATAGCTTACTGCTGGCACGCACCACTGTCGACTCGATTCTTCGGGGACTTGTCTCTTGCTGCACACCCTCGTCGAGCACGCCCCCGATTCCAACCTTGTAGAAGATGCCACCACCGAAATTGATACCAGGTACCACCATAGTCCTCTTTCTCGAACGATCGAACGATCGAACGAGTACCCCGTGGCATTTACGACACGAAGGATTTGTTGCTGGGATTTGCGTTCAGCCACCGGCCTTTTGACTCAGCCACCGCTACCGGTACGGTGGCTAGCTTCTAGTACCGTTAGGCAAGGCAGAGAGAATTCTGCAGCCAGGGAAGCATGCTCCATCGGAAGACATAACTTGCTGGCAGCGTGCATGCAAACATCCTGGAACCACTTAAGCTTTCAATAAAGTTGAAGTTACGCAGCTATAAAACCAATGTTGACGACATCATTTGTAAAGATGGAACACAAGGAGGGCCACCAGTTACATGAGAGGAAAGCCACCAAGTTGGGTATAGATTCCTGGTGGGCCTGACATTTCCCCTTCACACTCAATAACTAATTTGATGATCTGTCCTTGTTCATTCACGTGGATGTAAATAGTCTCCGGTGAGTTCTCTACATATTTGCCAGATGCTTCAATGGCAGGACACGGTCCAAACCCATATGGTTTGCCAGTATGATGACCGTTGGGAACAAAGTCACTCCAAACAACCACTCCATCGCTCTTGCGTTCGTCAATGGAAGACTCAAATCGAAAGTTGAAATCTGGAAAGGCATCAAAGATCTTGACAATTTCCGTAGCCATTTCATTGAATTCCATCTCCATATTATCGGCTTTGGTGAAGATGCATCTGCAGTCATCAGCAAAGAGCTCCTTGGCTCCATCCATGTTATGGTCATTCAATGTTTGTGCATACGCCCTTGCAACCTTTTCGTTGGCTGTCTCACGCTGTCCTGGCTCTTCCAATCTGCTGGTATCGCAAGCACCTCCATTTGCGGTGGTACCCATGCTCTTGGAAGACTTCCTTTTTGGGGAGAACAGTTTCTTGATTGATTTCATCATCTTTGAGAGTGAGTTCTGCCTGAAATGGGTGCTCGTGTGCTCGTGTTGTTGATTTAGTTGTGCTTGGTGGATGCAAAATATGAAAAGTTGGGGAGGGAAGAAGGCTGATTGTTTGCCATGAGTTCTTGGAGCAGTAGAAGTGATGAAGTTTCTGGGGAAAAGAAGGGATAGAACCAGTGCAGGGAAGACACAGCCGCCGACCGAACATGCCCCCGTCGGCTTCCTTCCCAAGATCACTTCCCTACCGGCTGGTATTCTATTAATAAACGGGTTTGTTGCCGGGGTTTGGGGGCATTATATACATACATGGGTGTATGACTTGAAAGGATGGTGGAAGACAGACGCAATCACAATGTCACGTCTGTAATAAGCCCCATGCCCCTAGTTGCTCAATAAAATATCAAACTTTTAAATTATTGGACCAATCGCTAATATATGTACAGTACTCAAAGACTCAAAGTACTATTTTAAAATAAAGTCATTTTGTTAATTCCTGTACACCTCACTTACCTCATCACCCTGTGATAACCAGTTTTGTGGACTGGTCAAGTCGTCAAGTCCATCAAAGAGATGAGCTCTAGCTTGGACTCACGATGATTGTGGGCTCTTGATCACTACAGCTAGTCTTTGCCCTTTGCTCCAATGGAGCTCCTTTCACTGGCTGTCCTTTCCTCCTTCAGTTGGTTGGCTTTCCTGTCTTCGTCATCGTTGTCGTCGCCATGTCGCCAGTGCTAGTGTGCTTAGTTGTGTGATCGCAGCCGGCTACCGAACTGTTGTCGCTGAGGTCGAATCGAGTCGACGGTCGATCCGCTGCCACTACAACTAGACCTACTGCGAATTACTCCTCCTTTTTTTTTAGGGTGTGGTCGTTCAGACGCAACCGGGGCTTGTGGGTTGGTTGTCGGTTGTCTCTGTTTTCCAAGCCTGATATTGGAGGTGCACAGCTAGCAGCTAGCTGAAAGCCACCTCTCATTTGTTCTATGGACGGCGGGAAGGAGTCGAGTCGAGTCGAGTCAGATATCCGCCGTCAATATCCAAGTTGGAGGAGTTTCAGAACCGGTCGATCGGTCGCACCTCTTCTATCAAGCCTGAGTCAATCGGAAGTCCCCTGTGCAGAAGTGAAAGACATCCTCATTGAAATTATACGGTTCCACTCTGGACTGTTTTATTTTCCCAGCCCATGACAGTCAAATTGGTGAATTCAATTTTAAAGAGCAAAGGTAAGTCTCCGGTTGCTGTAGTATCAGAAAAGACGAGAACTCCATATCTATTACTTATTTTTACTCTCTCACTACTGACGGCCGAGGAAATACCAGGTACCATTGCCGAGTCCTTTTCAGCGGATGTTACGGATAACAAGCTGCTCCGGTTAACTCCAGCCCCATCTCCAGCCTGAAAAACGTCTTCGAAGAGGCAACAGTCGACAGGAGGCTACACGACAACTCGCACGCACAGATGGTAGGATTGAATTGTACAGCCAGAGAAGCATGCTCCATCGGAAGACATGGCTCCCTGGTAGGGTGCATGCAAACGTCCTGGAAAAACTTCAGCTTTTCACTGTAAGTTGGAATTATGCAATGTTGACCGGATCATACATGTACCAAGCAAGGCAGGGAAAGAGATTCCATCCATTCCGTCTGTTACATGAGAGGAAAGCCACCAAGTTGGGTATAGCAGTACTAAAATAGAATCTGTAGGACAACTGTACCGGTACCGCGACTCTTCCGAGCGTCCTTGCGACAGAAGCAAGGAACGAAAGGACAGCGAGTAAAGGAAGCTGTAAAGGATGAGCTCTCGGCAGTGGGATGATTCTGGTGCTCTTGATCTCTACTAGAGTACTGTACCCGTCTTTGCCCTTGCTATCACTGGCTGTCCATTCCTCCTGCAGTTGGTTGGCTTTCCTGTCTTTGCAATGATCGCCACGTCGCCAGTGCCAGTCTGCTTGGTTGTTTGATCGCAACTGTTGTCGCTGAGCTCGAATCGGGTCGACATCGACGGTCGATCTGCTACCACTGCAACTACTCCGAATTGCTCCTCTTTTTTATGGGTGTGGTCGTTCAAACGCAGTGAGGGCTTGCTGGTTGTCGGTTGTCTCTGTTGTCCAAGCAATTCTCAAATGTAACTTTAGAAGCACTCCAGACTGGAGCCGAACCCAGGAAAACCGAGCAACTAGGAGGAATTGAATGAGGACAGCCAGTAAAAGGAGCTCTCCAAGACTAGCTAGTGGTAGAGATCAAGAGCCCCAGGGTCATCCAAACGCCTAGCTAGAGCTCATAGTTTGTGTGTCGTGATGTCGTGATGGACAATAGAATCAACAGGTGAAGCCCTTGGTGCCCATTGGTTTTAACATAGTATAATAATGAGAGGGAGAGAGCCTGGAGGCAGTGATGAGAAGGTAAGAACAAACACCCTCTGTTTGCACCCATTCTCTTTGAGAGGCCGAAGGGCGAGCTGCAATCACTAGGACAGGCTACTGGCTACTTGTCACTATCAAATCGACCTCTGCATTCGTGCTGCAAACAAAACAGAATGCCACTGTCGAATCGACCTCTGTATTGATTCGCGAGGCTTTCAACGCCATGATTCAACCAGCCAACTCTGTGTTCTTTGAGGTCGTCATTGCAACGATGCAGCTGACCAGGCCGGAGGTATGGTAGGATTGAATTCTACTTTGCAGAGAACAAGCATGCAAAATCGGAAGACATGACTTGCTCGTAGCATGCATGAATAATGTGCATAGTGCTACAAAACCACTGTTAATTAATGCAGTATTTTGTGGTATCATACCAAAAGATGAAGCACAAGGCACAAGGTGGGCAAAGAGATTGCCTCCATTCTTCTACCAGTTACATGAGAGGAAAGCCACCAATTTGGGTATAGAGTCCTGGTGGGCCTGACATGTCCCCTGAACACTCAATAACTTTTTTGCTGATCTTTCCCTGTTCATTCACATGGAAGTAAATAGTCTCCGGTGAGTTTTCCGCATATTTGCCAGATGTTTCAATGGCAGGACACGGTCCAAACCCATAAGGTTTGCCGGTGTGATGACCATTGGGTACCACGTCGCTCCAAACCACCACTCCGTCACTCTTGCGCTCGTCAATGGAAGAATCGAATCGAAAGTTGAAATCTGGAAAGGCATCGTAGATCCTGACCATTTCAGCTGCCAATTCAGTCCATTCCAGTTCCATATTGTCTGCCTTGGTGAAGATGCATACACAGCCATCAGCTATGAGCTCCTTGGCCCCATCCATGTCATGGTCATTCAGCTTTTGCACATACGCCCTCACAACCTTCTCGTTGTCTGTCTCACACGGACCTTGCGCTTCAGAACCACTCTCACTTGTGGTGGTACGGATGCTCTTGGGGGACTTGTTCTTTCGGGAGAACAGTTTCTTGATTGATTTCATCATCTTTGAGAGTGACTTCTACCTGAAGTTGGTGCTTGTGGTGTGGATTGCTTGGTGGATTGCAAAAAATATGGGAAGTAGCTGGCAGAAGACTGGTGTGGGAGCGTGAGAGCCTACCAAAAAGTGGCGTGTGTGGAAAAGTTGTGGGGTACTAGTATGATACTTGCTTGAGACTTATTTAATACTTGGACGATGGTCACAAGACAGTCTTTTGGAGTCATAATTATCTATTGATCTTCACTCTTCAATATGTCCTACCCGTACCGCTATTTAATTCCTTCTCTTGTTTCATACCCACTTGTGATAGAAGAGCAATCTCTCCATATTCCTTTCTTTTAGTTAGACCCAGTTCCCAACCAATAATTATTGATTTGGAAGAGCTTTAGGAAGCATGATTCAAAGGCACGAGGAACGACGAATGGAGTATTGAAGGCTTAAGTACCGTTTCAAGCTCTGGCTGCGAACTGCGAACCACATGATGTTACAGCGTTACAGCGTTACAGCTTGGCACTATTCCTGGTAACACATACATCATGATGTGCTGTACTGCTCCTTATGGCCTTATCCATGGGTGTGGTCATTGAACGCCACGAGGACTGCTTCCTTGTTGTCGGTTGACCGTTGTCGGTTGTGTCTTTGTCCGTGCTATATCCATTTTGCCGGATATCAAAAGGAGAGGCTTTGTCAACTTCAGCCCTATCAACAGTCGGAGCAGAGGAGATACCGTCGTCGAGTCATTGAAAGGCAACAGTCGACCAAAGGAGGCGACAATACTGTACCGGCACACACAAGCCAGTGGACTCGACTCATCCCGTCTTTGAATTTTCTAAAATGTTGGATGGTGCAATACCCATTTTTGTGTTGCTGTCAACTTGGTGGCCCGGCCTTGGAAGGTTGGAACGATTATTCAATGTTGGCAGAGTTGAGCTTTGTGGATCCAATGCAACTACCAGATTAGATTTTGGGGATCTGGGGGCCAATGCTACATGTATTGTGGGGATCTGGGACCGCATCCATCCACACAATAGCTTCAGAGATTGGAACAGTGCTGCAATCCTTTTCTCCCCGTACGGACGGCAGTGCTAGATAGAACTATAGAGCCAGTGCCCCAATTGAGATGTAAGACTTTAGGAGATGCAGCCTACAGTATCCAACACATGGGGTTGGTGGGAAACAAGTTTATGGATATGGTCATATTCATAGATCTTTGGGGACTTCTCCACTGCTTCTTGGTCTCCTGCTAGCTGGATTTATTGCTTCTGGCAATCTAGATAGTAGAGGTACATTGCTTGCAAACCTGGAGGGTGGGTGGGTATAGAACCGAGACAGCCTTTCAACGGCTCGATCTAGTTGGTCGGGATTTGCAGGATTGAATTCTACACCGCAAGAAGCATGCTCAACTATCGGAAGACATGACTTGCTGGTGGTAGCTTGAGGGCTTTAAAGTTGGATAGTTATCTACGGGACCAAAGTTTGAGGGGCGTAGAGTAGGATTGTTATCTACGGCCAAATTCCCCACTAGCTAGGTTTTGTGCATGCACATATCCTGGAAAAACTGAAGCTTTCCAATAAAAGTTGAAATTATGCAGCTACAAAACCACTGTTAACAGTATCATGCGGAATCACTCCAAAAGAACACAAGGTAGGGCCACCAGTTACATGAGAGGAAAACCACCAATTTGAGTATAGATTCCTGGTGGGCCTGCCATTTCTCCTTCACACTCTGCAACCAATTTGCAGATCTTTCCTTGTTCATTCACGTGGAAGTAAAGAGTCTCCGGTGAGTTTTCCACGTATTTGCCAGATGCTTCAATGGCAGGACACGGTCCAAACCCATATGGTTTGCCGGTGTGATGACCATTGGGTACAAAGTCGCTCCAAATCACCACTCCATCACTTCTACGTTCGTCGATGGAAGAATCATATCGAAAGTTGAAATCTGGAAAGGCATCAAACATATTAGCAACTTCCGCTGCCATTTCATTAAATCCCAGCTCCATATTGTCCGCCTTGGTGAAGATACACCTGCAGCCATCAGCCACGAGCTCCCTGGCCCCATCCATGTCATGGTCATTCAATTTTTGCACATACGCTCTCACAACCTTCTCGTTGGCAGTCTCACATCGACCTTGTTCTTCGGATGCACTTGTATCGCAACCCCCCGCACTTGAGGCGGTATCAATGCTCTTGTGAGAATTCTTCTTGCGGGAGAACAGTTTCTTGATTGATTTCATCATCTTCGATGAGAGTGAGTTCTGCCTGGCGTTTGTGCTGGTGTTGTGGATTTGCTTGGTGGATTGCAAAATTAATGAAAGCATTGAGGAGGGAGAAAGACTGAGAGTTTGCCATGAGTTGGAGCAGAGGTGCGGACCGTCCCAGTACGATGTACGTCCCAGCCAGCTTTCTAGCTAGCGTGCACTCGTGGTAGTGTGTCCAATGTGAGGTTCTGGGCTCTTGTCAAACCAAGAACGGCGAAAAGACACCAGACAACCAAACGCGCTTCAATAGACGGAGTTGATGGCGGTCGCAAAAGGGCATTTGGATCTCTTTTAGTGTGGAGCAAATGTACAAGAGAAGTAGCGGCATCTACAATGAGTATTTATTGCGCACTTGGAATGGGCTTCTATGCAGTCTTCATTCCCAATCTTGCTTCCTACTGACTTAAAGAAGCAATCTGCTCTGCTCTTCGAACATTGAGCAGTCTACCGGAGTAGTCTTCTTTCCTTAATGGCCCCAGGCAATTGGAGCACTGCCCCAGCGAGCAGCAGCCCACCACATACATAGCAATAACGAAGCAATAATATCCATCCACGACGATGACTGTCTCTCGACTCCACGAACGACGGACCCCCGACAGGTGGGACACTCGTGGGACACTTGACATCACTGTCATCCTCGGAGTTGTCTATTGTTGTGATGATTGAATGATGCATCTCAGCCAAGTTCTATCTGTTCACGAAAAAGGCTGATGATGGAGGAAGGAAGGAGGTGTTGATAGAGAGGTTGCTATACCGTACCGATGCTTCATCACGGAATCCAAATTGGGGAGGCCTCTAGCTCCTCGAGATCATGGTCAAAATGGGAAAAATCATGTGTGCTCCCATGCCTCTATATATAAAGTAAGGGAGCGAATATGATTTTCCATGGGTTGGGCACTTTCTGGTCATGAACAAGGCCTCCCCAGTGTTGAAATGAGCGATTTGCCTCTGTTTCCCACGGATTTCGAAAATGTGAGGCTGAAAAAGTGAGGTTAGTTTTAAACTAGATGGCTGGCTCTCCAGTCACAGAACCTCTTTCTCAATTTGGATTTAGCCGTTGCACCCAAAATCAATCGCATCCCACCAGGTGCATCTCTTTTGACACCATGTTTATCAGTGTCGTGGCCATGTTGATGACATGGATTCCTTCTCACAACACGTACGATTGATATTTGCCATTCCGAATGAAGTTTCCACAATGAATGTATTGCCTCTTCGACGGATGGGATCCAAATTTGCGACCATGGGCAAGCGGCGGCATCTCTTTGTGTTGTGTCTTTGACAGATGGGATCGATATTTGAAACCATGGGCATCCGATTCAGCGACCATGTGAACGACGTCACGAACCACTGAGAGAGGACGATCCAACTGACAAAGATCGCATCCGAATCGATCAGTCAGAGGCATCTTCATTCTTCGAAGGAAACCATCTCATTATTTTGACTATCGAAACAGCAAAACTCTGCAGGAATCAATCGAAATGGTGGCTCATTATCTCTTCCGTCGGTCGCTTGGACTGACCGACCATGGGGATCGGCCGTTCGGCCTTAGGATTTTGCTTGTTACCTCTCCTTCTGCTCGCTCCGTCGGGTCGCTGCTACCGATCCTCGCTGTTATCTTCGGTCCACGCTCCGTCGTTGATTTTGTCTTTTGGATTGACCGAACATGGGGATCGGCCGTTCGGCCTTGCTCATTGGGATTTCGCTTCTTCACTCGGCTGTCCCGTCATCTTACAAGGCCTCAAGGTCTTCCCTCTCCCGTCCATCCTCCGAGCGAATATTGCTCCACCCGTTGAGTTCACCTCCGATCTTTTTTACGTCGCTCGATTCAACCATGGCTCCATCCAAACGCAAGAACAAGAAGAACCGCCGCCACAGTGGCACACTCAACCAAAGGAAAGGGCGAAAGAACTACTCTGCCTCTGAGTTGGCTCGAAAGAAAGCCCAAAAGACTGTTACTCCTGCAACTCCTGAGGAAGCAATAGCAAGGCGTGTCAAGCGTGCGAGTGACGTGGCTGAAGCTTTGGGAATGAGTCCAACCCGTCGTTCTCATCATGCTCGTCTTGCAGATCTTTCCTCGGATGAGGAGGAGCCCCTCCGGTCCTTGGCGGATCGCCTCAAGCCTGACGAAGACTCAATGGAAGAAGACTCGGAGCCTGATCCTGACGATGATATGGATTACATTCCGGATGAGCAGAAGGTCAAGGCTGCTTTGGCGCAGATATTGCCGGAGGAGAGGGCGAAGAAGATGGCTATTGCATATCTTTATGCTTACAAGTATGCATTCCACGAGGACACGAAAGACACTCCATGGACTGGCATCAACGGCACGCAAGTCAAGATCCGCAGAGACTTGTACGAAGAAAGCAACCGGACCAAGTATGTTGATGTCTTCACAGACTTGCATCACTGCTGCGAGCAGCACATTGTGTACACTGGCCAGCGGGTTCATGCTGGACTCAAGCCCGTCATCATCCCCAACGACTCGTTTGATGCCGTCTTCATTGCCAACTGCATTGAACGGAAGAGCATGAGCGTGACAATGGCGATGCAACATCTGAATCGTCTTCGAATTGAAAGAGGCTTGATCCCTTATTCCAGGTCTGCCGTCGATGGCTTGAAGAAACGACTCAAGCACAGGGTGGTGCCAATTCGCAAGCGCAAGCAAGGCAACAGGGACGTGAACTCCCCTTGGGCACTTCGTCGTCACGGTTGGGCTACACAGCTCTTGCTTCGCATGGGACATGATGTTGAGGTTCCTGACCGGCTTCGTGAAGCTGCGCTGACGGATCCTCCGGAGGAAC